TGGAGAATGTTTAATCCTTCTTCTTGTTTTTGTTTTACTGCCAATGAGCACTCTACCATTGCAAGGAAATGTATCTGTCTCGTCTATCATATCTTGTTTTAACATCTTGACATTTTGTAATACCTAATCTTTCTCTTATTTATGAAATCTTTGGTTACTTATTCGTATTAGCACGCAAATGGTCGTAATGTATGGAGTGGAATCAATGGATCATCAGTCCTATAGTTGACATAAAAGAGTCAAAGAGAGAAAGGTGAGAATAAAAAGCTTAAATTTGTTCTCTGGTGACTCTATGTTTCTTGCGACCTAACACTTTCAAATTTGTCACTAGATATGTGATGTTTAAAATGTGATCGCAAACGTTTACAACGATTGAAGCTATGTGTATGCTTCTAAAAATTTCAAACTACAATGTCAGCTCATTTTTTTTTTCTTTTGCGTTAGGGGTTGAATCATCTCGTTTCAACTCTACAATGAGCTAGCATAAAGAAAATCTTGGCTTTGATAACAAATTCCAATCTCTTGACCTCCAGTCGCATGTTCTCTTGCTCAGTTTCATCTTCTTGATCCAATGGTAAAACCTCGAAGCCACATTCTCTCACATTAGTCGAATTTGGATTTTCACTCTAAAAATTAAGATGAATCTGTAGCCGCCTCTGTGCTTGATTTGACTGGATTCGATTTAGGTTCACCACGAGTGAGTACATGATGAAATAGTCATTCCGGAGAATGGAAAGACCGTTGATGCGAACAAGATCCAATTAATATTTGAACAAAGTGAAGGAGCTCATGAATAGATCCAGTTAAGCACCTATCTCTTCTTTTATCCGTATTGATTTTATATTTCTTCGGCTCATACTTATCAAACGTAGAATTCATCTCAAAAAGACGATTTCTAATTTTGTGTGTGTCTTGTTTGACGGATCGATATGCTTGAGGGTTCATGGTGATTTTCTAAATTCATCTTTTTGTGGTTTCTGGAATTCGAGTATGTGTCTTTGTCTGTAAAAAGATTTGTATTATGAAGCTTTGTGAGTGTCAATGAAAGTATCTTTAAGCATATAAGCTTTGTGAATAAAAGAATGAAATTTAAATAAAATTGTGATAAATAAAATTTAAATGGCGACAGAAACTTTTATTGTGAAAATTTGAATCTAGTTAAAATTGTCTCTAGATCTGAGAAGGCTATTGCTACAATACCCGCGACTGCTACAGTAACCCCGACAGATTTTGCTCCGTTTGGTCCGGTGACAGGCTGCTTTCGTAGCACTGGTGCTGGACCCCTTTGTTTTAGGCTTTGATTTCGTTGTGCTTAGGGTCTTCGCTGCAATTGGAGCTTCTATTAAGAGATGGTTCTTCGACTTCTGGCTTGGCTTCGGTGGGTCGGGTGGACTCGGCTGTGTCGTGGGTGTTGGGGGTGGATGAGTTGCGACGCCTTCAGGGTGGTGGGGCTCATGCTTTCCCCTTTCTGCTCAGGCCTGGGATCTTGCTTGGTCGTGTTTGGAGAGGGTCGGTTTGGGTTTGGTTCTGGGTGGCCGTGTTCCTCTCTCCGTCTCTCCTTCGAGGTTGTGGTCGTAAGTTTGTAGCTCAAGCTTGATCTTGTGTTTGGGTTAAGGTTCTAGGTTATAGATTTTGGTCGGTAATTTGCGGTCTTAGCCTCTTTGCTTGGTTGTCTTGGCTATTTGGTTCCATCGGTTTTAGCTTGGTTCAATTGTAGGGCCCTTGTTATTTCGGTTAGCTTGGTTCTTGTTAGTGGGGATGAGCTTCATTCGTATGGATTTGGCCTACTAGGTGCAAGTTTCTAGTCTCCTTGCTCTGCTGCGTGGTTTCGTCTTTCTGGGGAGAATACA